CGCCAAGGCTCTGGCGAAGACGGAGGAGACACTGGGGCACATCACGTCTGCAGCATCGCAGGCCAAGCAGGCGGTGGGGGACGCTGAGAACGCACTGGGCCTCATGACCGCTGGGGTGGGTTCGGGCAACGATGCACGAAGCCACGCGAAGGTGGCGACTCAGGCCGCCGCCGCCGCGCAGAAGGATGCCGAGAAGGAGTGGCGGCGCCTTCTCGCCGAGGAGGGGAAGCAGCCGCCGCAGCCCGAGGGTACAACTGACATGGAGGACTCGTCCTCTTCAGTGGAATCTCCAGAGATGGAGGAACCCAAGGACCCCTCAACCGCGACAGGTCCCTCCGATACAGACGACAAGGAGGGCTGGCCATCGCCTGTGAAGCCTGCGGGCGCAAACAACACGCCGAACGCATTGCCCACGACGGAGAACGGCAACGACGACACCACTGCCGACGCTCCTCCCAGCGGTACCGCCGGCTCCTCCCCAGTGGAGGGCGCAGTCAATGAATCAGGNCTGAGAACGCACTGGGCCTCATGTCCGCTGGGGTGGGTTCGGGCAACGATGCACGAAGCCACGCGAAGGTGGCGACTCAGGCCGCCGCCGCCGCGCAGAAGGATGCCGAGAAGGAGTGGCGGCGCCTTCTCGCCGAGGAGGGGAAGCAGCCGCCGCAGCCCGAGGGTACTAATAACACGCCGGACGCGTTGCCCCCGCCAGAGAACGGCAACGACGACACCACTGCCGACGCTCCTCCCAGCGGTACCGCCGGCTCCTCCCCAGTGGAGGGCGCAGTCAATGAATCAGGGACTCCGTCAGGCACCACGGGGGACGGCTCCAGCAGCCCTGCGTGGATGGGGGCGGAGCTGCTTCTGCTTCTCCTGGTGGCAGCAGCCTACGTGACTGTGTGAGGTCGGAGCGGCAGTGTGCCGGTGTTTAGCAATGAGCAGCTGCTGATATTAAGGAAGTATTTTGGAATAATTTCTTTTTAAACCCATCGGCGCATCACTGCGGTGTTGCCGCCGACCCCTTCCCACGCATACTGTTGTAAATCAGATTCCCAATCACACGTAGACATGCGCGCTCTGAGGTGTCAGGCGTCTCTCTTTTCTCTTTTGTTTCTGTTGGTGGAATCTTTGTTAACGGCGTTTTCGCGCCGCCCTTGAGAAACATGTTTTTTTTCGGCGGCCAAAACGTTTTTTTCTCTAATATTTTAATTGTTTTCTCCTGCAACGTATTCCTACACCACGTGATTCTGCTTCTCTCGATGCGCAGCTGTGCGTGTGGCGCTGCTGCCTTCCGGTGTTGTGTTTGTGTGATGGGCTGTTTCTTCTTGTTTTGTTTTGTCAGCGTGGGCAGGCGATCTGAAGCAGCGGAGGGGGAGGTACCGGGAGTGGCGGATGTGCGCTGTGTGCTGTGGGTGATTGCTGCTGCGCCGCGCTGCGAGTCCTTTTGTGTCACGGCCGGTCCGCCGGAGTCCTTGAAGGTGTGCTGTCGGGAGGCAGTGCCTCTGCGGCCGTTGGTCGTTGCATACGCTCAGGCGGTGCAAGGATGTTGGTGGGTAGAGTGGCTGTCATTACCGCCCAGCATCTGTGTGGAAGGAGGTCCCTTTTGTTTTTTGTTATCTATTTTGTTATTTTTCTTTTGGGCTTGGTTTATTTCGGATGTCTTGTTCTTCGTATCGTTGCGCCGGTCCAGTGAGGAAACACACACGCTGGCGGAGTCGGGGGGTCGATTCCCCTCATCCGGGAGCTGGAAAGCCTACCCGCCCAATTGGTCTTAGCTCTCTCAGGGGGAAAGCACATTCGGCGTAAGATCATCAAAAATATAGAAGGGGGGACGAAGCTTAGAGGGGGGAGAGAGGACTATTCCTGGACCTGTATGGTTGGCGTCGGTTCTGGCGGGGAAGGCCGTTGAGGACAAAANGCCAACTTCTGCATGAAGCACAACTTCACCATGTCGCCCCCCATCCACCCCAAAGTGACAGCGTAGACTCTTTAATGCGGGACAGTTCCAAAGCCAACGTGGACAGTGCGAAGAGACGAGCATGCACCTTGGCTTCACTACGTCCGGCCTGAATCCGTGGCTGACTATGCGGTGCCTTGTGAGGCCGTGTTTGCTGTGGCACTGGAATCCGCACGTTGTGCATGAAAAGACAGAAAGAAGCAGTTCCTCTTGGAGCCACCATCGCTTCTCCGCTATTGGAACCCCTTGGCCCTCATGAAATCTTCTGCAGTGCGTTCGGACTGAATCAATAGAAGCGGACCATTTCAAACACACTAAGCATTTGTGTTTCCCTCCGCCACTCGGGCGGTAGATGGACGGCTTCCTCGTTCTTTGGCTGGCCGTCGGTCGGAGAGGAAGCCTCTGTTCTCGTACGCTTTGTGAGATGGGGCAATTCTACGTCATCTTTTTCCTGCTTTATGGCAGCGGCGTGCAAGGTAGGGGATTCCTCCCTCTCTCGCTTGAGCGGAAGAACCTGCTGATGGCGCGGCAATACGCACCCCAAAGACCGGCAAGGATAATACTGTGCCCCGGCAAGACGCGGCTGGTCCTGGTACTGTGTGATGCCGTAAGCCTGGCGCCGCTCCCAGTGTGAGTGGGACTTATACGCGCCGTAACTCTCGTCCTCCAGCTCCATGCCCTTCGCAGTGACACAGTCGTAGTGCTTCTGGGCCATCGTCTTCGTGTGGTTGGATGTCACC